ACAAGTTTCTTAAAGGATTTCTATTCAAACATCATAAAAATTGTTCCGTAAATTAACAAGAAAGTCTTATGACAATATATTCCTGAAGCAATGGCAGGAGAAACCCCTCTCTAGCCATTGCTGTATTGAGACTGAAAACTTGAGTCTGTGACGGAGCGTGTCTATTCTCATCGTCCAATCAAATCTCTTCTGGGTAAAATAAAGCGAATTTTCATGACTAAACGGGGGTGTCCTCTTTAAAAAAAAAAATCCTAGTGTTTATTAGTGCTGAAGTTATTGTATTGAATTTTGACTTTATTAAAAAAATTCACTTGGCAATATAAACAACAGGTTCATAACTCTCGCTTGCCTGCAGTAATTCATATATAACAGTTATGTAAATATGCTGATTAATGTATTAAATATTCTCAAATAAATCCGAATACCAATTTGCAATAAAACTCAACTGGGCATTCAAACTGAGCCCACTTCGTTTTACATACGACAGTTTTTAGTTGGCAATTAATATGGTTACCCACCGGTATATATTATTTAATGCTTTAATAATCTGAGTAAAATGGAGATCTCAATTCTAAAAGGATCTTTTGTTTTGATTCACTTGTTCATCTTGCTTATTTACATAAGGTTACTTTCTGTACAAAACTTTACCTCAACTATTTACCCTTTCCAAAATAGCCAATTTCCGAAAACCTTGTGAACGCGATTGTGGCTGTTGTTTTTTTACGGATGTTTTTCATATTTGGTGGGAAGCATCTGGGTCATGGGATGAACCCTCTCGATTTTTTCAGTGTTCCGCGAATTTCCGTTCCGGAGTTATTTCCCCCCTTTTCTGGAAACCTTGTTTGGAGCATTGTGGCCATAAGAGTGCGAACCCCATCGATATTCAGCGTTCAACAACCTTTCGTACCTTAGCTATCATCCTTTTCTTTGAAGGCACTAGGCTGTAGTTTTTAACGGATGTTTTTCAAATTTGGTGGGAATCCTTGTGGTCATGAGATGATAAACCATATCGATATTTAGCGTTCCGATATCTTCCGTACACCCTTTGCTGAAAACCACATGCACGCGATATAGGCTATAGTTTATAACTGATTGCCCTCAAATTTGGTGGGAAGCATAGGGGCCATGAGGGGACGATCCCTATCTAACGTTCTCTAATATTCCGTTCTAGATTTACCGCCCCCCCCCTCCTCCCTTTACCAAACAATTGTGAACGCAATAGAGGCTATAGTTTTTACCGGTTTTTTTTTCAATTTGCCGTCAAGCATTGGGGTCATGAGACGACGAACACTACCGATATCCAGTGTTATTCAATATTCCGTTCCTCCACGATTACCCCAATTTGCCTAAAAACTCGTGAACACAATATTGGCTAGAATTTTAACATTCTTTTCAAATTCGATGTGAGCATTGTGGTCACTAGGGTAAACGCCGGTCGATAGTCAGCGTTCCGTTAAGGTAACTCATAGAACGTATGCTCACCAGTATTATACTAGATTACTAAATTACTAGATTTGCCTAAAAACTCGTGAACACAATATTGGCTAGAATTACTAGATTTGCCTAAAAACTCGTGAACACAATATTGGCTAGAATTTTAACATTCTTTTCAAATTCGATGTGAGCATTGTGGTCACTAGGGTAAACGCCGGTCGATAGTCAGCGTTCCGTAACTTTCCATCTGGAGTTTCCCCCTTTTTCAGAAAACCATGTGAACGCGATAGAGGCTATACATTTTTTTTAGCGGATTATTTTCATATTCGATGTGAAGCATCTTGGTCATAAAAGGACGAACACTATTGATATTCAGCGTTCCGCGACCTTCTGTTCCAGAGTTACCCCCCCCCTTTTACGGAAATCCTTGTGAACCCGACATAGGCTAGGCTATTTAAATGGTTCCTCTTAAATTTTGTGGGAAGCATTGGGGTCATGAGAACTATCGAGCGTTCTGCAATACCCCCTAACACGCCTCTTGGACAAACTTCCCCGAACACTGCATGTCGTACGCCCGTCTTCATCAAGGCCGGTTGGTACACAAACGTTAAGCCCCAATTTTCAATCCTCTTATCAAAGACTCCTGGGCAGTTAAAAATCGAAATAAGAGTAGGCCATTTCATTTCACTTATTAATACATTATATCTATACACTCGATCGTTTTGGTTCGAATTGTGTTAAATCATAAAAGACGTGATATATAAGTGATATCAATAATGCTTGCTTTTATGCTAGACTTTGTCATACAGATGATTCATTGATATCAATCAACAAATGACGGTTATAATAATTAATTTTGACACGAAAACTGTAAATATGTGCAGTAGAACCTCAGATATCATTATATACCCACTGTGATGGCCATCTTGGATTTGCAAATTATGAATATAACCCAACCCATAATATATGATGGGTGATCGACATAAATTAATAGTAAAACATTCATTTGGACATAAAACGAGACCAAATATGGCATGGTTGGGTTTTAGATTATGTTGGTGGCCAACCCGAATTTCACCAAAACAAAGAGACCATTATGGCTACCACTGTGTGGCATTCTGATAGGGACTGACGGAAATCCATACATGTGTTTTATTAATAGTTCATAGTAAAGTTGATGTATTTCCAGATTACCGATGAAGGTTGATGATCCAAGTGAAATAGACTATAGATATATGGCTTCAGTTGGTAATGGACATCTAGCAACTCTACTGTACAGTGATACAATATACGTCAATGGCTTATATAATGGTCCTACAGGTAATGATCGCATATCTGTTTCAATTTTAAATTTCCACTTTTCTATTACTGGGAAAGTTCTACATTGGTTAAACTGTGTAAAAATAACACATCTATTCACAATGAATATTTCCACATCTTGCGTAAGCTGTCAATAGCTACGATATGTTGATACTGTTCACATATTTGAGGCAACTTTTCAATTCATTACATATACCATGACGAAATGATATTCATGGATGTAAATATTTTATAGAATTAACAAACGTGTTGTCTTGAAACGTAAATTCAGGGATTGAAATAGATATACAGCTTCGATTTCTGAAACCCCTACTGTACATGTAGTGCATAAATTAATTATATTTTCTTGAAAAATAAAAAATGGGATAGGAAATCAATTTTGTGTAGGTTAATCAGACAAGGTATCGTTGGAAATTGTGAAATAACCTATAGTGTTACATTATATTTTTAAAAATAGGTTGGAGTCACCGTGCCAGAATACCAGCTACCCAGGCCTTGTTTCTATCACACCCGGGTATCACTGACAGATTATACTCCCTGGATGTTAAAAGAGGTATGCAAAACAGTGATCAAAATGCTTTCAGGATACCATACTTATGCGTTTATTGTAATTACACACCAAAGAGTCTGGATTGTGGCCCAGTTCAATTATGATTTGCCTCCAGAGATGAAATGCAGTTAAAGTTGTACTTTTCTGGTCCCGGGCTGGTGAACATGGGTACGCCATGTGTGCTTTGGAAGAAATTAGTTGTACTGAATTGTTTATCTCCTTTAAGTATTAATTTTGAAAACAGATAAATAATTCAAAAAAAGGGAGATCATTTTCGTGAAATCCCGGCTTGAAAAGGTTGTGTGAATACGGGAAAACGATGCGGGAAATATTAAAACTCTAAAAGTGTACGCTAAGGCTACCGATCACCATTTAGGGATAATATTCTTTTGCCTTTACAAGATCTTTTGTTTGACTTAACTTTGTCTGTTACAGCTGTTTTTGAGGAAACATTCAATGTTGGTGACGTTAAGGTAACTCATAGAACATATGCTCACCAGTATTATACTAGATTACTAGTAACAGAGATTATACTATCAACATCATCAGCCCAATCTACACCAGTATCTATACAAGTTAGAAATAACCGCGGTGAGGACAGTAGTGATATAGAATTTTCCAATAATGTGGAATATATCAATTCTAATAACAGGTAACTATAATTCAGAATGTTTATTGTAGATGTATCCGTAACATGGAATGATGGCCTTCTTTATAAATAGATCCCCCTGAAATATTATATCACAAAATGAAGTTATCTCCAAATCACTCCTTTGTCTAATAGGATAAGCAAGCCAATTTCTCTTCGAGCCTAAAATCATTGTAAGTGAAAATATTTCAGTATTTCAGTTAAATCCGTTTGTTTGTTTTTTTCACTGCACTAGTGTTGTATATATTGCGCACTTTATTTGGTAGCAGTGCCATAGCGATTTAGACTTACATATCATCAAACTCACCCATTTAGTGATGTGTATACGCAAACAGTCTCATTTTGTTTGTATAGCTCCTCTCAGGTCACAATTTTTTATCCGATTTTGACGAAACTTGAAATGTAGTGAATGTCCCAAAGATATCGGTTTATATCCCATATATCTCGGTTCCTTTCGATATTGGCATGTATTGGGCCGTAACTTTATGGATTATGGTCCCAGATTCTACGAGACACCCTAGACGTCACAATTTTTATCCGATTTTAGGAAACTTGAAATATATGTTTACAACCCAAAGATCTCGATTCCTTTTGATATTGGTGCATATAGGAACTTACATGTATACATACTGGATTATGACCCTTGATTATGAGACAAGTCGCTTTTGTAACTTGTTCCCTGTCCATGTCTTGCAAATGTGGGCGTATCTTGCATGGCAATCGCTTGTTAGCTGGTGGACCCTATAGCGGTCACAATTTTTACCCTAGTTTGATGAAACTTAAAATATGTGTTTCTAACCTAATGATCGTGGTTCCTGTCGATAATGGCGCATGTCCGACCCTAATATCCTGGAATATGGCCCCAGATTGTTTGAAAAATCACTTTTTCCGCTTGTTCTCTGCCCAACTCTTACAAAATGTGGGCATATCTTGCATGGCAACCGCTGGTAATTATTTCTTTTTTTCAGACACCAAAAGGGCCAAACCAAAATACCTGAGTTATCAGATGGAAAAACACAACCCGTTTATATTTATTATACTGTTATACCACAGGTTATTACACTGTCGTCCATGAAAACACACAACAAATATACCTTTGTTACTTCAATAGACCTTGAAGACTGGGCTGCAAAGAACACTTTCGATGAAGCTCTGAGAATCCTTGATGTGCATCCCGATAATTTGTATAATAAGCATATATCAGAATGGCACATAAAATGGTCTAACGGTCGCATTGATGTTGATGGCAACACAGAATTGTCTAAATACATATACAGTTGCTTCTATTATTTAATGAGTTTTCTCCCGTCTCAAAACGTTTTCTTACCAAATCGGAAATTCTCAGGGTTAAGCCCTGGTGGTCTTGCTAACGGTGCAAATTGGACGGATTACCAGGGGCATGTCTTTTGGGATATGGAAACTTGGATGTATCCCGGAATTCTCATGTTCCATCCGGAATTAGCACAAGAGATGCTTTCATATCGTATTGACAACATGGCGCCTGCGTATGAAAGGGCTAAAGCAAATGGACAGGAAGGTTTACGATATCCCTGGGAAAGTGCGCGTACTGGTGTTGAAGTTACTCCTGATGTATGTGTAGCATGTCGTGAGAATCAGCAGCATGTAACTGGAGATATCGCTTTGGCTGCCCGACAATATGTGTCAGCTACTAGAGACATGGACTGGTTACGCGGGAAGAAAGGGTATGTGTTTATCAGAGATATGGCCAAGTATTGGTACACTAGACTCGAATATAATGAAGTAACAAAGAAGTATGATATTAACGGTAAGGAAAGACTTTACTTTAATATAAGTGCTAACTATGGTTGATCTCGCCAATATCCCTTGTTGTGTTTGAAGACAAAGTTAATTTGTGCTCCTTTCTTGTGGTATATTAAAAGAAAACACATTCACTTTACACAATGTTCTTAATCATCAATGGGTTTTTTTTTGTTTTTAAAAATTCACTTTACACAATGTTCTTAATCATCAATGGTTTTATTTTTTTTTTAAAAATTCATTTAGGCGTGATGCCCCCAGATGAACACGCGGAAAGCGTCAATAACTCGGTCTACACAAACGTTGGTGCTAAACTCAGTATCAACTTTGCTCGCTATGCTGCTTGCTTAGCAGGAGAAGACTCCACAGAAGAAGTACCGGATGAGTGGTTGGAACGCGCCAAAATGATAGCCTTACCGTTTGATGAAAGGAAAATGTTCCACCCTGAATACGACGGTTATCGAGAGGACAAAGGTATCTATCTATTTTATGCGCACGAGTAGGTTTTTAATAGTAGTAGTTGTAATATCCACAACCCAGTTAGGCACAAAACTAGCATCGTGTATACGTTCACAAAAATTTAGACTGTATACTAGTATAACAAGGCGTATCACGATTATTTTTATTCTTCAGATCCACGAGGTATTAAGCAGGCCGATGTTATTCTGTTGGGCTTTCCTCAAATGTGGCCCGTGGATAATGAAGTGAGACGGAATGATTTGATTCATTATGAGAAAGTAAACAATCCTTTGGGACCAGCCATGACATGGGGCATGTTCTCTATTAATTGGCTAGAGTTGGGAGATGACGAAAAAGCTGCTGATTTATTCAAAAGGAGTTATTCACTGTACACAAGAGAGCCGTTTAAGGTATTCATTGTTTTAAGATAATTATGATTTATGTTATTTATCATTTAATATTATTATGGTTTTCATCATTACGTTATTTATCAATTAAGATACTGATTGTTTTCGTTATTTATCATTTAAGATAATAATAGTTGTAGATATTTATTATTTAAGATAATGATAGTTGCGGGATTTTTTAATTTAAGATAATGATGCTTTTAATTAATTATGGTAGTTACCCTATCTATACAAGGATGACGTCAAATACATTTTCACGAGACGAAGTAATATACGGCGTGGCTTGTTTTTGAATTCTTAAGTGTATGTACTAAACATGAATCTCATTTAAATTAAAACCGTTACAAAATATTATTGTTTCAGATTTGGACAGAAGCCCGTGCAGGTATTGGGGCGGTTAATTTTCTAACCGGAATGGGAGGATTCCTACAGACAGTGGTGTTTGGGTATGGCGGTGCTAGACTTCATACCGAAAAATTAACATTTAATCCGAAATTACCACCCAGTACAGAAGGTCTACGATTTATTGGATTGAACTATGTTGGCAATAGTCTGGATATAGTCATCAAACCTGATTATGTCACGGTTGTAGCGAGAATGACGTCAACAGAAAACCCGTTAATTCTAACTGTAGACAATTTTGGTGCCAGTCATAAAATTCAAAAGGATAGAGAAATATTGATTCCAAGACGAGCTTTCACACTGAGAAGTTTAACGGTGTCTGACTGTCCTCTACCCGAAGGTAGGTTTGTTGTAGGCAAAATTACTTAACTTACTTTGTTGTTATACTTTCAAAGAACATGCAGGTTCACTCCAGCATATCGACATTGTAAGCCCTTAGAACGACACGTCAAGATTTTGTCGTAGTTAAACTCGCCCGAATCTCATTAAATTGATACCGACGAAGAGGGTTTGAATTAACATTTTCTGCTAGGTTTTGTTGAATATCCACGGTTAAGAGGCGGAGGGATAACTGAGTTAAGAGATTGTTTACGGTGACTGATACGTCAGATATTTACACGTTTGTGGTATCTCAAAATTTCAGACGTCATTTGATAACACGTTGGAGATGGGCATTGAGACCACAATTAACAATAAAGTAAATTGGGGAATTAAAGGTGGTCTGCCTAGTAATGTGTTAGCGAGTTTATCGTCCAATTGTTCCAGCTAACCGTATATTCCTGTTACTTCAAATCAAAAAATGATTACCCCTATCCCCTTTCCTTTCGAAAAACGTCAATATATTTGATTACCTTGTAAATCCCTAGTTTATCGGATGCTAAATGACATACAATACCGTAGATTGTTATCATTTTAGAGGATTCCTGTCCTGATATTAAAACTAGAAGAGATTGGCAAGCTGTAGAACCTAGAGATACAGAAATAACAGGTGTTGTTGATAAAGTTATAATACAACAGACCGGCGATATGGAATGTAACACTCTTGATGCTTGTAAAAAGCGAATAATGAAATTACAGGTGAGTTGCACAATTCAAAAGTACATCTAAATTTGTTAGGTTTGTGAACCCCTCATGTCAGAAGATGTACCGAGTGTTCTAAACAGCATAAATCAACCCAGTCACTAGAATACTTAAAAATTGTACACTTCTTCAACACAAATGCACGCGCATAATCTGTATTTCATATTGGAAATATAGACACACACACACACACACACACTTACTTTGATCAATAATCTTTTTAGGTGTATATCTCGTATTGTTGGATTTCTTTCACGACCCATGTCATTACTTCAATATGCCAATAACTGAGTGATCGTATTTGGTTTTTAGCCTTTGGGTGGACACCTACATTGGGTGATTTGAATTAAAGTTAAAAGAACATAAAATTATGTTTTATTTATTTCATAATATTGGACACCCAACTTAAGTTTGTTTCATTTACAGAAATAAACTTTTCATTTAATAAAGGACAATAAGTAAAAAAAAAAGAATAATTCAAGAACAAATTTGATTGAATCAAAGAGGTTTGAACATCAAAATAAATCAATTCAGAATTATTCATAAACATGAAAACTTAATATTGGGTTGGCTAATAAATGTCTTTAAATAGAAACCATAATTTTAGAATAAATGTAACTCCTCTTTCTAGCTAACCCACCAAACCAGTGGTGTGAAGGGTCAAGTGCTGGGGGACATAGCCTACAACTTTTTAATCGGATCTGAAGGAAGAGTTTATGAAGGTCGAGGCTGGGGATTCGGACCATACCACCCCGATGTCGACGTGAGGCTTAGTTCTTTGAGTATGTCATTGCATTGAATTGAAACTTTTTAATTAATTGGCTTTTGTGTTAATTTAATTAATTGTCTTATGTGTTTTTGAATACTTTTCTCCACGAGTTCAAGCTAATGCCTCAAGATCCTGTTTGACAACAACTTAAATCTCATTAAAATCGTCTGAAACTAAAATTTTATCTTTACTTAAGATAGGTGAATTTCACAAAACGATTATGAACATTTTAGATCAAATCCACCAAAATACTGTTTTAAGTTAAAATTGTATCTTAACTTAAAATAGAGGTGTTTCACAAAACTATTTAAGGGACAATTTTAACTAAAATTCATTTTAATTTAGAACAGCCGTCTCCTTCTCCTAACTTAAGATCACGACATAAACAAACATTGATTAGGGTTCAGTTATTAGATCTATTGTGACAGATAGATTTATTTGGAATAATGTCACTATGCTTTCTAATTGGGACAGGTCGAAAGATTATTAACATGCCTTCTCTTTCGTTACATGAGAAATACCCCTTCGGTTCATTCGTTTATTTTATTGTAAGTCAAATTAAGCAATTAGATCTCGCCCCAAATTAGAACTGTTTTATATATATTACCATATAGAAAAACAACAGATGATCAAAAAAAAAAAAATAGAAAACGAACCCACTCTAAAAAACAAAAGAAAACCTGAACTAACTTCGTACCCACTATCATGAAAATAAATCATGTTTTATAAATTCCCTAGGTAGACATAAATATCATAATATGTTTGTTAGTGACAATTCTCAATAGTTTATGTTATCAAAAATACCAAATAACTACAAAATGTAAGCGATGTAGTTCATTGGTACCATTACACTTGCTTGTAAGTCAAATGTCAAAGTCACGAAAGCGGCAAATTCGATTTTCAATCGAATAACAAAACGTAACTAGAACTGCGACGCAGTAATGACGGGTTTCACCGGTGCCCCGTTACCCTTGAACATATTTCACTTCCGGAACCGATGAAACCATTAAACAGGTTTCCATATAAGCATACCACACATCAAATAAAATGTACACAGAATCAACCAAATCCAGCAATATCAATTCATTGTATACATTTGTTACATGTAAGTGATACTGACAAAATTACATTACTTCCGTTGATAATGAAAATGTTAAATTAGTTTTATGAAATCAGAAATGTCATAAGGCATCACATGGAGAAAATTTTATGTAAATCGAACAATAATTGCCACTTTTATAGACCAACAACCTTGAAAAGGGACTTGTAGAAAATCGTCTATGTCTCTGCAACCGTACAAGTTAGAAACCATTTTTTGGTATCTGTATGGTCGTATGGGTTCAATCTATTTGTTGATTGGAATCAAATATCATAATTTTAAAAACATTACAAATTGGACTCATTTGAATAAAATATCTGTTTTGAAGGCTAAAAATACAGTTTTTGCCAAAATGACATTACTTCCGGTGTTAATGAAAAGGTACCTGTTGAGAATCGTCTATTTCTCCGCAACTGAACGAGTTAGAAACCATTTTGTGATACCTATATGATCGTATGGGTTTATTCTATTGGTTGATTGGGACCAAATATCAAAATTTTAAACAAATAACAAATACGACTCATTTGAATAAAATACTGGTTTTGAAGGCTATAAATACAATTTTTGCCCAAATTACGTCATTTCCGGTGACATTGGAAATGTTAAATTGGTTTGACCTTGTTAAAATTGACATTACGCATCAAATAGTGTCACGTTTATGAAAATCGAATAATAATTGACTCCTTTACAGGCAAACTAGCGTAAAGGGTGACTCATGCAAAATTGCCCATTTCTCGGCAACTGCTCATATTACAAACTAATTTTCACATACATTCTCTTCGTATGGATTATTGCTACTAGTTTATGAAAGTTTCGAAAAAATATATTAAAATATGAAAAGCCTGAATGGGTTGTGAATAGCTCATTTTTTCACCTTTAAATCGAAATGATCCGAAAACGAAATAAAAATTAAAAAAACTGAGCGCGATGATTTCTGCGCATTAACAGGGCAAACCCTTTCAGTCATACCAGATTTGAAAAAAATAATATTTGCTTTCAAAAAGTGGTACCGAACTCTCAAAATTGCATTTTTTGCTAAATTTATGTTACTTCCGTTGCCGAAAGGAAAATGTACCGGTAACAAAAAAAATGACATTTTGGACCACGGAACATAAGAACTTTGTTTTATACAAATCGAACAATAAATAATTAATCCAGGACTGAAAAACTGAATTAGCCAATGGGGGCCAAGGAAAAATACGGTGACAAAAAATGTTGACATTTTTTTGTCAAATCAGATGACCCTTTAACCCTTGGTAAAACACCACATAAAAATATTCATTAATAAAAAAAGTTTTTCGTAAAAATTTAAATTTCCAAAATTTGGCGCCTAATATCTCCGAAGATTCGTCGAAAATAAAAAATCCAAAGAACCTTAGCTATGTGCCTTGTCTCTGGCTATGTCAAAATGTATCAACAATTACAATCAGACAATTATTGATAACATTACGGCAAAATATCGAAAAACGACAACTTCGGTGATTTCGGACATTTCGCATTGTCGCAGAACGTTGGAAATAGCTTTAAAATTTAAGTCAAACCCACTTTCCCAGTAAAACCGAAGACATCGAATCGATCCGACAAGTAGTTTCTGAGATATGCTCAAATGGAAAAATAATAATAATAATAAGAAGAAGAAGAATAATCCGAATAAAAACAATAGTGTTTCACACTGGCTACGCAGTGTGAAACCCTAATAAACTCATCTCTACGACCGTATGAAACTCTCCCCATTGATTTTGTATTAACCGTTTGTTAACAGTTTTCAGTTCCGAAGCGGTTGTTTATATCCGTATCCCAGTCACTGGAACGCGGCACTGTGCAGGTGCAAGCAGTTTTAACTAAAATCTATTAAAATATGCTATTTTAACTTGTAATTGATTTTCGTGAAACGCATAAAATTTCATTTGAATTTTAGTTAAAATCTATTTTAATGATTCTAGCTTACGTTTTTGTGAAACCGGCCTAGAAGACTAACTGCACGATTCAATTGAACCAAGGCAATCACCTCATTTAGCCAACTTCCCTCCAAAAATGTGTCCGTAGGCGTTAAAAATATAATGATGTGAGAAAACAATAACAAACAATTTTTTTTTTAAAAAAATCGTCAATCAGAAGGGCAAATCAAATCAGATATTGGTCAAACCCCGTCCATCCCCGTCGCCCTCTGCAAAACTGTTTTTGTTGGCTAAACTTTACATCAATTTAATCGTTTTATCTGTACTGGCTTTTAATGGGTAGCATTACTTTCATTTTTCAGGTATAGCATTTATAGGTGATTTTACATGTACGGATATATCAGATGAAGCTAAGATGGCGGCTCAACAACTTATTAAATGTGCACGAGAGAGGTGTGGTTATTTAAATTCTCCCTTGAGTGATTAAACGGATGTTTTTACCCTTGTATTATTTGTTAAAAATAATAATTATTTTGTTGTGTATAGGTTGCTTTTAACCAGGCCATATATGTGGATTATCAGTCTGTCTTATCGGCGATTAGATTCGCTGATTATAATGTTTCAATATTTAAAAATAATAATTATTAATAATTGTGTTATTAACATTGGAGTGTCAATTGTGGTTGTTCGGTAGGTTGTACACTCGTGTATATTTTATTCAAGGAAGAAGATATCGAGCGATTATAAACTAGTATTTGAAAGTCAGATGTTCACGCCTTTATGTAAAAAAGATATCTGTGTCGGTGATAAATTGTTTTGTGTGGTGCAATCGTGGTTTCAGTGGGTGAGTGTATAGCAAATAAAGATGTTAGAGGTTTGAAAATGGCACTATATTCTGCTTAATTCACACTAAAACAACAACATCAAAATATCAATGGTATAGATAGACACCTGGCTTTGATTCAATTGCATTAAAACGAGACCAATCAAAAGTGCTTACCGCATAGATGTGACTGGCTCGTTTATACAATCTGCAAGGATGTTGAAACTGGGAAATTTTCCACGCGTCTTATTTGTTTTCTAAATATTGAACGGAATTAAACCATTTCGGGACTCAACTTTCACAATATTTTATTTTGGGAAGGATTCAAAAGACGATATTATTATCTTATATTATTATTAAATATTTTGAACAACTTCACCTTTTTTTCTTTTCTAGAGCAATATTCAGACAGCTGGAGAGTTAAGACAACCTAACTGTAATGGTAAATGTAATACTGATGATATATCGAATTCTAAAATTCTTCCATTATATGAAGACATAAGTAAAACCGCGACCGTCTTTGCTACTGAAAGGTAATTAATTCTTGTAAATTACAAAATGATTAATAAACAAGTTTTTACTGATACGTTTAAGATTATACATGTAAGAATCTTATACAGATACTATTATTTTACCCCAATAGGTTACTTATAAAAAGCAATAAATAGGAAATTATAGTTTTAAAACTATTGATACGAAATAAAACGGAGTTTACGGTCCAGTATTTCCTTCTACTCTTTAAGGGTTCTTGTAAGTGCACGCCGACGAGTACATGGGTGGATCTTGGTTTTCGTATCATCCGAACGACTAGACGCATTTCCCTTGCCAGGCCCTCCGTTCTGCACCACTAAGACTAGGAAAGCAGGCTTGAAAATATCAAGGAATCTTTTGGTCCAAATCCAGGATCAAACCCGGGACACCCTGTTTAGTGAGCCAACCCTTTTGATGATACATTGCTTTGTCCTGAGGGACTTTCTTTTATATACTTATAGATTACCAATGAAACCATCAACTAATGAAATAGACTTCAGATTTATGGCATCAGTTGGAAATGGTCACATAGCAACCGTTGTATATAGTGATACTATCTATATGAATGGACTGTATAATGGACCATCCGGTAGGAAAATAATAATCAGAGCTTAGAAGGTCTCAGCTCATTGGTACCATTAAATTAAATTTGGCTTGGAGATATTCAAATTAAATTGTAATCAAATATAAGAAGATACATTTTGAGTGGTTTTCAAGGCGTTTAACAAACGATCACGAAAGGAATACTTGATTTCCGACACCAAGATAGCCAAACCAACACAACAATATAGTATATTTTTTTACAAGAACAACATGAATGTTTGTTATACATTAAATCTTCTCGGTGGTCTTGAGCCTATCACTTATATTCTTACACTGGCGTTTTATATTTAAGGTTGGAGTCATCGTGCAAGAATACCATCTATTCTTGGAGCAAGGTTATTATTACCAGGAGTTTCTGATACACAAACCCAGTATGCACTAGATGTACAAAGAGGTAATAAATGGAACTAGATCCCGTATTTCAAATTTAAAGTAGAAAATATTCGCTAGATTATGCTTGGGCGTAAACGATCTACGTCACACATTTCTTGTGAACAGATAGATTTGAATGAACTTGTGATGTTGACATGCAGTATCTTCTAATATTCGCTAGGTTATTACCCTTGGACGTAGTCTAATATTCACTAGGTTATTACCCTTGGAAGTAGTCTATCTACGTCACACATTTCATGTGAACAGATAGATTTGAATGAACTTGTGATACTGACAGGCCGTAATGCCGTATCTTCTAATACCGACCACAACTGAATCCCCAACGCAGGAAACAACAAATTCCAATCCGCGATTGCTAGATTTGTACCCCAAACCAAATTTTGTGAATAAAATTGTTGTTGTAGGCAATGAACATAAATATCAACCCTTGCTAATCTACACAAGTGATATAAATAATTATTTTGTTTTATTTGATCAGGTGTTTTTGAAGAAATCATTAATTCGTCAGATGTTAGTATTTTAATCAGAACATATGCCCATCAGTATTATACACAGTTAATAATATTAGAGATACATGCTGTTAGGGTTGGTAATGGTGGTAATAATATAGATATATCTTTAAAGAATGATTACGATTCATCTAGTATAGACCTAACCATGGAACCAACTCAACAATACAAACAAAATTACAGGTAAACCAATGATATTAGACAGGTAATCACCCCACATTTCGAGATGATGGGATTTTATGTAATTGGGATACACTGGGGTTTTAAAAGGACACAGATCATGGCGGTGTACCTGTCGTCATTATCGTATTATACATGTATGTCAATTTAACAGTTAATTTCGCTAATAGATTTAATCTTTCCCTCTCCTTTGTGGATGTTTTCTCTGAGATTATATATCAATGTTTTCTATCTTTATTCTTGTGACCAATTTTGTCATGTGTTTTTCTTTGGCATAGTGAAACCTAAATAAGATCAGATTGTTCTATTCACTGAAATGGGTACCTTATCTTTTAAAATATATTTGATATTTAAATTATATTGTGTACAGGTATATTTCGGCTACAACAAAAGAGACTGAAACCGCAGATACGAGTGTTTCAAGTGTGTTTATATATCAACATATCATACCTTCAAAGCTGACTCTGGCAAGCAACGTACGTAAGAACAGTTGGGTATATTTCATGTCCATAGATAATGATGGTCGGAAGGCTGAGGCGGCTTTTAACGAAGGTCTCCGATTGCTCAAACAGCAAACATTTCTTCTATACTATCAGCACGTGGCCGCATGGAAACAAGCATGGAACAAAGGTAGAATCGAGGTTGGTGATAACCTTCAACTCTCTAAGTTAATCAACAGTTGCTTTTATTATTTGATAAGCTTCCTCCCAGCAGCATCCACTTTTCTACCTAAGGAACAATTCTATGGATTGAGCCCAGGAGGTTTAGCAAATGGTGCCAATTGGACAGATTATCAAGGACATGTATTCTGGGATATGGAAACCTGGATGTATCCAGGGATATTGACGTTTCGACCAGATTTGGCCAAAGATATGCTTTCATACAGAATCTATGGAATGAAAGAAGCGGCAAAGCGTGCTAAACTAGGGAACTACGAGGGACTGAGATATCCGTGGGAAAGTGCTTTTACTGGCGCAGAACAAACTCCAGATATATGTATTCCTTGTCGAGAAAATCAACAGCATGTAACAGGAGATATTGCTCTAGCCGCTAGACAGTATTTCAGTATGACACAAGACATGACGTGGTTGAAGAATCAAAGTGGTTATGAGTTTATAAGAGGTATGGGAAAGTTTTGGAAATCCAGACCAACTTGGAATCCTGTAACCCAGCAGTACGATATTAACGGTGCGTATTTACTGCAAAATATTATCAATGCAAAGATTGCGTTTTTATGCACTAATTATCTTGCAACCCAAATATAACATGTTATTCATACACTTTCTAGGGCAGCTGATGGCACTGTCAATTCATATCAAATTTTTATTTGTATATTCACAATACACTTGACAGAATGAACATGGCGTTGACTCACTAACTGGGAGGCTCCAAGTTTGAGTTCGGTATTGGACCAGAAAGTCGCACCTGAATTTCCATCCCTGTATCTGATTGTCAATGCTGGTGCAGAACGGGGGGGGGGGGGCTGGCAGGGAAGACTGTCTTGTTGTTTTAATGCCACGAAAACAGGGTTCGAGTGTATGTCGTAGGAAACACGTTAAAGAAAGTATGACAATTGGAAATTGAAAGACGGGAAGACTGCACCACACTGAATGGCAAATGCCCGTCTTTAGTAGCCAGGTCGATGCATAAGTCTCATTGGGATCTATTATATCAAAACGGTTTAATAGGCCAATGATGTTTCTATATATTTTGTAGGTGTGATGCCACCCGATGAACACGCTGAGAGTGTTAACAACTCTGTATATACAAATATTGGTGCCAAACTCAGTATATATTATGCTAATTACGTTGCCTGTTTGATGGATAATACGGAAGATGACACAGAATCGTGGTTAGCAGTGGCAGATAAAATAGCAGTACCTTTTGATAGTAAAAATAACGTACACCCAGAATATGATGGCTATTATGATGGCAACGGTAGTTATTATTGTTATTTATGTAATATTATAATACTATTCGCACAACAAAAATAAGATAGTTTATCAGTTTTGCACATGGTTTCAAGTTTGTCATCCAGTTCCTTTATTTGCGTTTTGGGTTCAGCTGTGACCACAGGAGCATGGATTCATTGTGTTTGTGGTTCAAAACCAAAATTGATCTTTATTTAAAATCATATAAACAGCAATGCAACTGCGCAAAATTTGAGCTTGGGATTTTGTGTCAATCAAAATAGGTGACAATCGAAAGGATCTTTGACACTGTGATATCTGTCTAGTCAACAATTTAATGAATTGTGTGACTTGTAAAGAGAATGACCATTAGAACACAAACACCTCCTTATTTGTAGTCGTTCATTTTCTTCATTTAGATGACCGTGGTGTAAAACAAGCTGACGTCATTCTCCTGGGGTTTCCCCAAATGTGGCCAATGAGTAAAGACGTTCGTAAAAACGACCTGTTAAAATACGAGATCGTCACTAACCCTATGGGTCCGGCGATGACATGGGGTATGTTTTCTATTGGTTGGTTGGAATTGGGAGAAGAAGAAAAGGCAGCTGATTTATTTAGAATGAGTTATGGCAATTATAACAGAGAGCCATTCAAGGTGAAGCAGTTATATTTTTTACTTTTATTTGTATTTACTTTATTTAAGATACTTTATTATTATAATTATTTTTTTTTAATAACCTCAAGGAACTAATCGATATCTGTGAATACTAAAATCGAAGCAGTGACAGTTTCAATATGATAATGGCAGTTTTGAAGATAATTATAATCTTAGTTTTCTTGTTATAAAAACTATCATAGTTTCTTGAGGATGCAATTCAGCAGTTGGCCGTATTAACACTAGCGTTTTAAAAGTTGACCAGTTAACCACTATCGTATCAATCGTTATTAATTCAGATTTGGACAGAAGCACGTGCTGGTATTGGAGCTGTTAATTTCCTAACAGGAATGGGAGGATTTCTCCAGTCTGTCATATTTGGCTATGGAGGCTTGAGAATACATCCAGAGTACATAGAATTTAACCCGAGATTGACCCCTGATACCACTTTCCTAAGATTTGTTGACTTTGATTATCTTGGAAACAGTTTAGACATAGAAATACAGATAGGTTTTGTTAGTATTGTTGCTACAAAGGTAGATGATGAACACCCTTTGGTTATTTATGTCATTACAACAGGGGATATTGTTTACATTGAGAAGGGTAAGTACCTTGTCGAACTCTTACTGAAGGGGTTGTAATTTGTAATTCATGGTTGAATTTCAAAGAATAGTCGACGAAAATCTAATTTAACATTTTCCTTCAATTGAACTGAAAGTATTGTCATTGTTATCCATAGTTGAAATTCAAAGAATAGTAGTTGGAAATCTAGTTTAATTGTACAAATTTTAGCAAAACATAAATGAGTGCAACACCCAAAAGTTAATATATCAATGACTCTGCACCGTCTAACTTAAAATAAATTTCAAGAACAAATCTGTAATCTTGTTTCAGATAAGGAATTAAGGTTAGCTAGAACAGCATTTATTATGGCGTCATCATCAGTGACGGAATGTCCCCTACCAACAGGTCAGTAATATTGTTACAATTTATCATGCAAGTACTCGATGTCATGTAAATTATCGGTATATATATATATATATAAAAAAAAATGAAATGAAATGGGGTTTAACGTCTTACTGTTTTGCTCCGAACTGGGCTAATGAAGCCGGGGGATATATATATAAAGGCAAAATAATGTTGGTTATGGTATGATTTAACAACTTTGTCTAGATCAGAACAAATTGATATTGGTAGTCTTGCTAACTCTTTAAGGCATACGACTTGGCTATAACGGAGGTCGCCGAGTAAACAAACCCCAGTTACGCTTGAATCTGCCATCATTGGAGAACATTACCACATATATATGTATATTATCTATTTCGACATTTCGTTAAAGGGCATTTCTTTCTGTGGATGAAATATTTGTTTTAGACGATTACGTCTGTTCCATTTAGAACGAACTTTTAACACATTTTAAATATATTCGCATGGTCAGAATTAAACTGTGAGCATATTATATATCATGATGAAACGCTAATGGACGCTTCTAATTCTTACATATTTCCATTTTCCAGGATCATCATCATGCGCCAATCCAATATCTAAAAGTTTATGGGGTGGTAAAACAATACCAACAGCTAGTAATCTGGTAACTCCAGTAACAGATGTTATTATATACCAGACCATTACGTCATCTTGTTATAGCTATCAAGCTTGTAATATGGCAATTCAGAATCTGGAGGTGGGTTTTTCATATTATAGCCAACAAACTGTCGCAGTGATAGTGAAAATATTTGTTATTAACTTATATAAGCCACTATTACTTAATAATAACAACCCTTATCTCTTGGTAGTGATTAGTCACGTATACATAAATCATTGATTACCTCTAAAATATTTGCTAAATATAAAAGCCATAATTACCAAATAATAATATCCATTACATCTAGGATAAGTAGGGTATACTTATAAGCCATTTATTAGCTCTGAAACAAACTAAATGTAAATCGTGTTACTTATTCCATTTCTTATCCTTTTTAAAGACACCCATTCCACCAAAAGTAAACGGTATTAACTTTATTGTGATAGATGTTTTTATTTACATAATAAATATTTGATAAAGTACAGGTAGATGTGAATAGTATCAAATTGAATTAGATGACAATGTCAGAAGTATATAGAATAAGATGTCAATGTTAAGTATATGTTCTGGTATGTTGTCATTCTTATTTGCAGACATCTCAAATTAAAAATGGTAAGACTCATCTTACTTACAATTTCGTAATTGGTTCAAATTTGAGAGTATACGAGGCTCGAGGATGGAGGAAACCTGGAGATCACTCAAACGATAGAAACGGTCAATCAATAGGTAAGATTCAATCGACTGTGCTTGATAAACGGGAAATTAAATGAAATGAGGGTTAACGTCCTGATTTGCTGGCCAGGCTGGGCTAATGAAGATAGGCATACGTCATGCATTGTGGTATGAAGGGATGTTTGCCCGGGCAACTGTCAAGGGTTATTTTACGTGCACGCCAATGTATACAAGGGGCCAATGTTTTTCGTCACATCCGAACGACTATACACTGTCCCTTGCCAGGCCAGTCACCCTACATCACTTAAAAGAGGAACCACGCCGCATGGTTAAAGGAGAATAAAAGTACATATAATTGAATAAATTTTAAAAAGAACAGTTCCGACTATCTTATTTGTTAATTAAAGGCAAATTTGTTTTAATTGAATTTGTGAATGGTAGAATTTAATGTAAAGAATGTAATGTAAAAAAATGCAAAGGATGTAATTCTCCTGAAACAGTATTGACTCAGTCGTCCAGTCCAACCGATCCTCAATTGTTGTGTCGTATGCTATAATATCCATAATAGTCTGTATGATCGAATATAATTCTTATCACATAGTTATTACATGTACTGATTATTCTTTCACAATTGAATATAAAAATGTTTATGGTTTATCATTTATGACAAATCGTTTTGTGTAATGAATTTAAAATAATACCGGAAGTGTTTTGAGTTTAGGGTTATAACATTATATGGACGCTATGTCTATTATAGAAAGTATTGAGACACCTTTAAAATAACTATATTGTAGGTATAGCAGTTATTGGAAATTTTACATATAATCATCCATCGAAGGCTTTACTTGCAGTGTTAAAACAGCTCATCAAATGCGGTATGGAAAAGTAAGTTCAATTATTCGATTAAATATGTATATTAAAGACTCAGTATTATTTTCACCAAGACATTACATATATCTAATTATACCCCACCCTATTCTCTTTGAAAACAACTGTATCTATTTACTTGCCATTGATGATCTGTATACCCAATTTGTTAACTGTAAGTAGTACATATAAAGACTGAACCCCCTACTCTCACACAAAAATGAAACACAGCTATTACTCCACGCAAGTTAAATTTAACTAAAAGTATTTAGTCGTTTTTATTTTATTTATGTTTGTGGTTGATTGTAATTGGTAACACGGATAGTATTAATACATATCTACGTCATTTTCAGTAAGTATATAAGTAAATCATATCAGTTAATATGGGAAAAACAACTGGAGAAATCAGACTGCACTGTTGGTTGTCCTGGTGATCAACTTTATTGTCAACTTAAACAATGGCGACATTGGGTAAGTTTTATTCGGGTCAATTAATAGCTATTTCGTAAAATAGTTGTTTCAGACTTCACTTTTGAAAACAGTTTTGTCAGGTAAAATCAACTTTACAACTCTTATAGTCCATCTGGATTTTTTGCAACTAGGTTTCCCCATGTCAGTGGTGCATGCAAGTAAGATCTATTTTTTAAGGCTACCTCCAGATTTGGTCAAAGTTCATGAGATGTAAACAGGGCTAGCGCTAACCCCGACCCTAACCTTTGAATCCCAACCCTGGACCTAGCCCACACCCTTACCCAAACGCTAACCCACAATCTCGTCAACAATCACGTGACCTAACCTTATTTACATCTGAGCGACCATGACGAAATCTGGGGTTGGCTTTAAGAAATAGATTTAGCCGTGCATGACTGAGGGACTGTTAAGAAGAAAATGAAGAGACCATTTTATCTTTTGTTGTGCGGATTGCCATATCAACCAAAATTATGCAATATTCACGATTTTAAGATGCACTTGTACAACATATTGTAGTATACAGTTGTGTGTATTTTGGTACACATAATAGGGAGTACAATTAACTCTACACGGAAGAAAACAATGGCGTGTATGATGGGGATCAACGTTAGAGAGCAGATATTGGCAGAAGAACAGGAAAAGTTAATGGGTTAATGTGGGAAATCGTAAAAAAATAAAAAAGCACACCGAATAACTTATCAAGCTTGACAAGAAAGCGATATAAATACATCATCTTGCTGACAGTGTGTATTAACCTGGTCTCTGACATTTTATCCTTTCAGAAACGAGTGGATGGTGATTCCTTACCATATTGTGGTGAATTATTTGTTATACAGTCAACTTCAGCACCAATGAAAACACCAGAAACAACATCAACATCATCTAATCTTTACATCAGTTATTCATTATTTACCCTTCTTGTCTTTAGAGTCATCATATCATATTTTTATGACTATTGAAAAAAATAGGAAACTGTTTCACACGATAATACCTATGAAAGCTATAAGAACCAGGGCCTATATTCTAAAAGACTTCCCATAGGCATTACCTTATAAATGACAGTTCTGTAACTAACATAATGTAATCGTTATTCACAATCTATTTTCATTTGAATATGATTCGATTTTTTATTAATAAACCAGTTTAAACGGCACAAAATATAACAAAAAATAATCAATTTATGCCATTTTATCACATATTAATGTTTTCATAAATTACACATAATTTTGTTACTTTTTACATTTTATTTGTATAATTCATTGAAAAAGAGATATTTACATTACTTACAATTTTTTTTGGTTACATTCTTATATTTTTTAATCCTATAAAGCAAACTACTTACATTTATTTTTGGTTATTCTTATATTTTTTAATCCTATAAAGCAAATTATAAAACACTGTGATTACCTTGTGGTAGTACTTCTACTTACATATAGGCAGGTTCAGTGGAAATTGTTCTCTATATTTTAATAAGCACACCCGCTGACCGTTATGAATCATAGTTTCAGTTTAATCTGTTATTAATCAGGGTATATTTGTTGTATTCAAATCCAATGAGTCAACCCACTTATTTATTACATTTGATACTAAGAAAGATAAGGATAATGTATATTTATTGCCCACTCACTTCGAGCAAGTCTTTTACTTTTATCTTTCACACTAACTGTTTATCTGCCGTCACTATGATCTGCACACACACACACACTGGTGACAAGGACATTTTGCACTAATATTCACCAGATTTGCTAGTTTTCATCAAAGCTTCGTTAAAATCCCTCCCAAACACAAAGCTTCCCGAATCTCCTTTGGGCAGGACCATCTCCGGTGGATCGTAGCCCCTAAGATATCGGGCTTTTCTAGCCGACCTCCATGCGCCATCTGTATCGCCAAAACGATAAAAATTCTTTGATTGGTTTTCTCGCTTACCACCAGCTTGATTCGCTGTCTTATTCATGTTATCCTCAATAAAACTAACTCGAATCTTCCTGTTTTCGCCATTTTGCTCCCCCAAATTTAAGGATGGTACTCCTCTTGTATCTTGTTGCATGGGCTTCCTAGATTCTGCTAGCTGCATGTAAGATGGAAGCGGCGTTTTACCGCTTTCTGATGATTTAGAGGATTTTGGTGTAGACGAACCGGGTTGATTAGGTGATTTCGTTTTGGCGATTGCAATTCTGGAAGCAACATCTGGAAAGGTCTCGTGAAAACGTTCTTGCCAAATTTCGTCCGGTGTTTTGGATGATCGATCTCGCGTTTGGTTTAAAATAGATTGCATCTGGTTAATGATTTCCGAGCCCTTTTCTTCCATCTTGGGTTTTCTTATACTGTCGTCCATTGAGTCAACTCCCTCGGGATGTAGCCTAATCAGATCACTTATATCTATAGAGTGCCTGTGGTCTGCAAAATGGACGCCTTTCGTAGGGCTGGATTTCCCTTTTTCCCGGTGAGATTTCACTCTTTGATCAGGAATTTGTAATTTCCGTCTTCCGCTACGTTTTCGTGCTGCCTTTTCTACAAATCAAGAATAAAGAAGAAAGTAATTATAAACCGACAAATCACACAGAAAAAGATATACATAAGTTATACAGTTCTTACAATTTACCAATAACCATCAAATCTAGGAACATGTTTCTTTATATGTGGAATAACTGGAGTTATGTTGTTGGAACGATAACGGGTTTTTTTTATTATTATTACTTTAGGCAGATATCATAATATTATATATACTATTATGATATCTATCTAAAATAACTAAGATTCACAAACATACGATAAATTACTGTCTATTTGAGAATTCTCAATTTCATTTTGTAAGGTGATATGTAATATCTGTGTAGTCCACACTAGCAACCATTGTGAGCTTCAAAATAAACGTACCTGATTACAGTGGTATATTCCTTTAATGTGTGATTAAAGATATACAATACAATGTTTATATATTTGCATAATGGACCAACTCAATGTTTACACGTAGAGGAGTGAACTTGATTAACCCACATCACACCTGCTGGATTATCCCTAATCTCTTTGTATAATTAGACTACGAACGATTGTCTTACATCACAGAGACAGGATAATGACGTGGATTATGCTAATATCCCTTTTATATTATCTTAATGTCTTATCGAGATCGTAATCTTACTCCTTTTAAACACACCGACATGGCGAAATATCCTTCAAGTAGAATGTTCAATTGAATAACATTTAACGCTTAATACCCTCAGGTTAATAATCGATTCAGGAAGGATACAGGGTCAAAGGTTTACTCAATACTAATAGTTTGGACCAGGACAATCCGTCGAAAGGTAGCACCGACAATTGAAGTCGTGGCAGACTTCATGTGACCGAAGACTTATGACTGCAAGAAATTGCCAACCAAAATTGTATCTTGACTGAATGTGCAACTGTAGAAATATTTGAGACGGATGCTCTTGTACAATTCGCCCATATGGACTATTTGCGATTAATGTTTTCTGTCGCATTGATTATTATAACAATACTGTAACAAATCCATTATTCTATATGCAATAGCACTTATTGATAAATGATTGACAATTCATAAAAAAAAACGAAGGTCGATATACAAAGGCCGTAATGTATAATGTATATCCTGTCATTTATCAATCAGGATTAATATTGATTATTATAAAAAAAAAAAATGACATCAAAATAAACAGGGTTGTTAATACCCCCATATTTATAAACGGCTGCTGTGAATCGAAATCTAGCAATCAGCATCAGGTAAATCCAATTCTGTCATTGTTTAATTGTTTATATTTTTTGTTTTTTTGTAATTGTATAAGAAAGTGAACTTTTCAACCGAAACTATCTAAAAGGAAATATGAAAATAAATTTGTTCCAGAAGCATTTTTGCATGGGATTTGCTCAAGTATAATCACAACGAGCTACAACACATAAAATCACGGAGAACACATTACCATCTCAGAAATCAGATTGCGTTTTTGAGAATATTTCCTAGGTTTAATTCTGTGTTTGGAAAGGAGCCTTATTGCTCACAAATATACAATAAAAACATTTGGCAAGTTTTGCTTTTGCTGCTTAGATTTTGATTGACGCTTAGCGCATAGGTACTGGTACCCATTAGAAGTATTCGTAAATTAGTCACACTCTCCAGTGGTGCTGTGTGTATAAATATGGGTCAAATTAAATTTAAAAATAATTATTTTTTTTTCTTATCAATAGGTTTCTCTTTTTCTAATCTTTAAATAGAAAATATTCATACACAGCACACCTGTGTATAGTCTGTCCGGGTTACCTGTATCATATACAAGATAAGCATAACATCCAGTTCAAATTACCATTCGAACACAACGGAGCAATTGGTTGACAAAAAATTCATCTATAAAACCTTTTGTATTTTATCTAGAATTTTAATTTTATGGAACTGATGAAAATAATAGAAAAATGTATATTATGAAATTTCGCAATCGTACCAACCTTCCTTAAGCCTTTCTTGATTCTGTATTTCATACCTCAGATCTATTAAATCTTTCTGATGGGTGGTATCACGAACATTCATTTCTTTATCTATCTCCTCTAATTGTCTGTCCAAAACACGTTTAGCCACAGCTTGTCTCAAAATCCAAGACATTTTCCTTCTAATGAATTTGCCGATCTGGATATAAACAGTGCTTCGCAGTACAATATTCGTATATCAAGAGTTTCGCTGTGAATATGATCCTACAGACTAAACTATTGCTCTTTATATCCCTCCACATTCAATCAAATATATTAACGATTGGCGAGTAGTCAATATCAATTAATATAATTACTATTTTCTATTCAGTATAATTATGTGGTCAATCCCTTGGACGACTTATATTATTACTACGCTGCGGTTATATCTACAAAACTGATATATATATAGGGTACAGCCCATTGGCTTGTCGAATATGAATTAATCTTTTTTTGTAAACGTGTTACTCCCTATCGATTTCAATCAACATAGATCATATCATGGAAACAATCTGTTCTGGAGAAGTTATTACATCTAGAGATAATTAAATATTTAACTTTGAAATAATGAATTAAAAAAAATACTAGTATTCGAAATGGGTAAACATGAATGAAATGAGGTTTAACGTCCTCCGTTTCTGCACTGACTGGGCTAATGGAGACAGGCATATGGCATGCAGTGTGCCATGGAAGTAATTTGGCGCTACGACCTACTCTTATTTCGAATTCCAAGGTTCGCCAATTTAATCAATTAAAAAAAACCCATCCGTTTTAAATGATTAAAGGGACTATCCCGATATCAAGAGAGTCTCAAAAATAAAAGTCGGAGTACGTATGAAATTTAAGCGCCAAAATATAGAGGAATGGGGTATTTACCTTCTCTCAAAATTCCAGCTCAAAATATTGAGTCGTTTGGACGTGAGTGTCAAAATTGCTTATCCGGACAAGTAACCCGTTTAAGATTTCGGGTCAGTTTTTTCGTTGGGTGACCTGATAATCGATTCCCGTTCCTTGAGAGGTCTATGTAGTGAATGACCCATGTGATGTACTTGATAACGAAAGGTAAATTTTAACTACACGTTATTTTTATAAAATAAAAGTCTGGTTTTATCCAGACACCGCATAATATAGCTTGGCACACCGGTCTCCATTTCCAGACGAAGACTGACGGGTTTAAGTGGTTTGAAAACTTATCACAAATATTGAGTTAGTTGTTCGGCCCTCAGCTTGAGGATTTTAAGGGATTTTAACACAAAATTAAGCAGTTTTATTCTCCAAAAAATATCGGGATTAGCCCTTTAAAGATACATTATGGGAGATTCGATATAGAGTTGGCAGTTCTCACTATAATAGTTAAAAACTAGATAATGTAAAGGCAATTTGGTGAAAATGTGATTCAAATTGATCCACTATGAACCGAGAACTAAGCGACTGAAATTCCCATAAGCCTCGGTCATCATTACTAAAGTCAGTACGATAAACAGCATAGTCTCGATTATCCATTTAATCGTTTAATCGAGAAGGAAAGTTATGCAGTAAATCGGCTTACAATCCACTAAAGATCGCAGGCTAGCGCTGCCATCTAGAGTTGATTATGGCCTGGATAGGTTAATTAATGTCTAATTAATAATTTAGATAACATTTCAGGCCTAAAGAAAGACCTGAAATAGGTAGATTTAGCTCTTGCATAATGTATGTTTAAGTAGTTATCAATACACTAAATCGAGTATGCACCAACTGGACTATTGAAGACGTGTGCTTTGGGTGAATTTTTGCCCGGACAACTTCGCTAAGACTTCTATTATTTCGAATTCCAACAGTACATTTTACGTACATGCCAATGTTTACACGGGACGTTCCGGAAACAAAACCCACTAAAACTAAAAAGTAAAAATGTCTTTGTAGCAAAAAAACAAAAACACTTCAGTATTCGGTTCTGTGTAGAAAGTTTCGCAAATAAATACAAGTTGGTTTTAAATATCTACAGCGGAATAACTACTTCAGTCTACGACTGATAAGTGTACAAAAATTTGTGCAAACATACTGAATAGTTTTCGAGTTCTGCTCCGGAAAGAACAGGGACATACCGATGGTGATGAGAATATTCTGCTTGGGTCAACATCCATTCAACGCTTACTAGGCCATTTTCATTTCCATAATTTGCTTGGGACTGAGAGGAAACAGGAGAAAGCACACGAGGTCGGATAGGCGACCCTATTCATCGTCACTATGTCAAGTACCCATACGGGATCGAATCCATGAATTGCATATGTAACACACCTAACCCATTATTGAGGTTTATGGTTTGCGCGGTTAAGGTAGAGTGGGGGTCATAAAAATGAATATTACAATGACAATAAAACAGCAGAAAGACGTTTGGTAATGTCGTCTTTCAAAATAATATAATGAAAGAAGCACTTCATTTTTGATGTAACGATTTAATAACACACATTTTACCTCTGAGTGATAATTTAGTTTTTAAAATGTCATAAAGTTGAAGGGCGTATTCTTCTTTGATTTGTGTAATGGTATGTGTACGATTGATACTAAAATTAGAAAAGGAAGAAATACTGAATGTTATGGGCCTTGTACGTTCGTCAAAATATAACTAAATTCCAAATAAAGTTCACATAATTTGTTATCACAATTAGAAATAGAAGAAATAATTGATAGTCTATAGCTAATTAATTTGATCAATACATGTCTTTAAATGAAATTAATTTTATATTAATTATCGTGTGCAACTCACTTTGACCACAAGCACATTGGTTATCTATGCAGTGCCAGGCATCATCACAAGGGCAGCCATTTTGATCAGCATTTCTAACGCACTCAAGTCGACCGCCGTCGTGGCATGTGGCTATAATAAAAAGTTTGGATTAGCGATGTCTAGTTGGATGTTATTTTAAAAGATACGACCATAGTATTTACAGGACCCGAGAAAAATAAGTCCGTTTCAGTATGCAAATCAAACGACACAATGTAAAGATATGAATTATTCATCTTGTCTGGAAGTTTAACTCCAAAATATTCAAACAGTTTATATGAGCAACGTAACTTTCCCAGGGAGCTCATTGATTATTAACTCTCGACTATTCAAACCGTTTGCAAAATTTGTCAAGAGGTATTTAAAATCTGCAAAATTAAATTACTCCTGGAAAGAGAAGTATAACAGGAAGTCGTCATTTACATATGTTGTAGAAAAATTGATCCAGGCACAAAGGGAATGCTAGTCCAAAACTCGTCTTGGACTCCGTCTGACAATTGAACGTTTTATTTATTTGAAAACAAATCACAGAGCTTCAGATAGTTTTTTTAGACTACAAGATAGGTTTCAAAGAAACAGGGATCACATCAGATTTTTTCATTGAAGTAGATCTTCGATCTGTATTATGAAAAGAAATATCAATTAGCATGGAAACAGAACATACCGCCTTGGTTACTGCAAAACTCAATACACGTACATACTCCCCTAACGCATACAACATGCGATCCCCAAAAACAACTTTCTAGTTGACAATCAGAATCTTGCGAGCATGGTTCACACGTAACATTGACTAAAAAAGAAAGATAGTAGATTATAAATTTGAGTGTCATTTTATATTTGTTTGTTTCTGTTCATCTTGCAAAGAAACGCGGGGTCAGAACATGAAGAGATTTACTGCATCTGAAAAATCAAGGGTGAATATACTTACTTATTAAGATGACCGCAAATGAAACCAAAGACACAATTCTAACCATGATGACAGCCTTGAAGGTCATTGGTAATGGACTTTAAAATGTATATCATTTACGTCTTATCTTATCAGCGCTTACGCATAATGATATGACATGTTCAGTTTAGAATATAGAATGAAAAAGAAATGGTACTGTATGTAAAATGAGTACATATAAATCGTAATATAACAGTACATGTATTTAGGTTGACATCTATTACCTATTTTACGTGCAATTCTCATATTAGTAAAACCACTTTATGTACTACGGATTGTGTGTATCACATGTGTTAGAGGCGATTTAATTGTAAAAGGTATCCCATAATGTGCAAAAGTCATGTTCCGCTATTTTCTTTATTGAAGCGTGGGGTTGACCTTCCTGTGTTTCGATGATGCCTTTATCTCGATTTGGAGTCATAAATGTATAATATTGTATACGCTATAGAACTGCAGCAAAATTAAAACATCAATTAAGAACTGTATCCTACCTCGACAAATTATTTGTAAAATTCTATTTCTTGATATTAAACACCGGTACTAATAAAAGAATGTATCGTTTCGAAAACGCGACTCTTTAATTTAGTCCTGTTTTTGTCAAAATGACCACGTTTCAAATACATGGCTTTTCAAACGCTATGCCTTGCTTCTCTGTGGTGCAGGTTTTATTTTAGCCCTGTTTGAATCCAGATACTGGATTAATCAAGAGCAAGGATATAATATGTACTCATCTTTTACAGGAGATTCGCTATTTACACACAGCACTATTTCGCTTACATTCTATATCTAAACACGTCATGTGTAGGCGTAGATAAGATAAAACATAAATGAAATACATATGTAAAGATCATTAAAGACCTTTAAAGCTGTCAACATGGTTAGAATTGTGATTTTGGTTTTATTTGCGGTTATCCTAATAAGTAAGTATAATATTCAGCCATGATTTCTCAGATGCAGCAATTCACTTTATGTCCATATCGCGCGTTTCTTTGCGTAAGATATACGAAAACAAATCAATCTACTTTTTAATATCTATTATCTTCCTATTTTAGACAATGCTGCAGGCGAACCATGCTCGCAAGATTCTAATTGTCAACTAGAAAGTTGTTCTTGGGGATCGCATGTTGTATGCGTTAGGGGAATCTGTACGTGTGTTGAGTTTTGCAGTAACGAAGACGGTATGTTCTGTTTTCAATTGAAAAAATCGCTTGGTGCTAATTGATATTTTGAAGTGAAACTTCCAGACAAGATAAATTAGACCAAAGGCTCATTAAGTGGGCGGAGGGCCTGACAAGGATAGCTGTCAAGTCGTTCGGATGTGAAGAAAAACCGAGGTCCCGTGTATACATTGTCTTGCACGTAAAAGATTCCTTGACAGTTGGAATTCGATATAAAAGTAGGCCATAGCGCCGCTTACCGGGCAAAATTTCCCTCATAGCACACTGTATGGCGCATGCCCGTCTCCATAATCCAAGTATTGGAGCAGAACAGCAGGACGTTCCATTTGACTTCATTTCATTGGGGGGGGGGGGGGATCAAATAGGCACGAAACCAGACCCAACTTTTCTAGAGTAAAATTTTGCGTAGAATACGTTTGGGAGTGGCAATGAGTCCGCCGTTGGGGCGTTTTCGAGATATTCGGATTTCAAAGGTCAAATGAGAACATTTATGCACTGAAAGTGAATGCGCAGTCATTCTTGTATTATGCAAACATGCTGAAAATGACAGAAACTCTATTCACTATTTCAATGAACGAATATAAACTTGATAAATCCCCCTTTGTTCTTTTTAAACCCGGAGGTCAAAAGGTCAAATTTTCCGTTTTTGCACTAGGAAGATTTAAAGCAATTCACGTCAGGGTAAAATATAAAAACTAAAGCGAAACCTGTTCTAATTAATAATTTAAAATTTATCTTTTTCTACGCACAAAAATACTGTAGAAAAGTTGGGTCTGGTTTTGTGCCCATTTGATGGACCCCCCGTTTGATTTGCACATTCAACCGGATTTGTTTTCCTGGAGTCTTTTGAATACCATGGCTTTATCTCCTTATCTTTTAAAATCACATCCAACTAGACAGACCATGCCAACTTTTTATTATAGCTACATGCCAAGGTCGACTTGAGTGCGTTCAAAATGCTCAACAACATGGCTGTCCATGTGATGATACTTGGCACTGCATAGACAACCACTGTGCTTGTGGTTTCCCAAAGTGAGTAGTACACAGTAATTAATATAAAATAAATTTATTTAAACACATTGTATTGATCAAATTTTAATAACAAATTTAGCCACAGAATATTAATTATTTCTTCCTTTACTAATTGTGATAACACATGTAAACATTTATTTGGAATAATTAAGCTATATTTTGACGAAAATGTAAGACCTATAACATTAGTTATTTCTTCCATTTCTAATTTTAGTATCAATGGTACACCTGCAAGGTACAAAAAATAGAGAAGCAGTTACGACTACGCCCTTCAACTTTATGTTTTTTTTTTTAAATATTAAATTAAATTAAATCGTTCATTATATTATACTGAAAGATTATATTACTAAACGATATCCGCTGTTTTATTGTCATTATTTAATATTCATTAAACTCCACAACCGAGCAACCCATAAAACAGAAATCTGTCAATGATTGGATGCGATCCCATACGAGTACTCGGTAATGAGTAGGATCACGTGCCCGTCCTTGCGAACTCCAGAATAATGATTGTGCGCACCAAGAGCTAAGTCAAATGTTTGTCCATAGAATATTCAACTATGAATTTTCAAACCAGCCCACGTGATAACTGTATATATATTATAGATTGATGTTTGTCCAAACTTCCGGTGGATCAGTTTGTAGGACTTGGGCTCACTAACCTGGCGGCCCCGTTTGAGATCCCTGCGTTGGTCAGGAATGTTCATCTGGATTTTCCGGCATGATTTCCCTATGCCAGTGTTGTACAGTAGCGGATCTAGAAACTGAGAATAGTGTGTGGGTGGGGGGGTCGTTGTTTCCAAATCTAGGGCGCCATCCACATCCCCACCCCACATCAGTTTTATTTAAATTGGCATTAAGTTCATGTGATATATGAAGATTGTTAGCGATTTTGTTATTAAATTTATCAGACATGTAACTGAGCTTTCAATAATGGGACTTTGTCTCATGGGGGCGCTTACTTGGTCTGATGGGATTGGTTGGGTGTGGGGGGCTTGAAAAGGGACAACATATTATAGTCGTTAGGATGGGACACCAAGCCGGGGTACCGTGAACACATTGGCGTGCACGTAAAATAACCCTTAACAATTGGATGTCGAAATATGAGTATGCCGTAGAGCTGATGTTCGGGCAAATTTTCCCTCATCGAACACAGTTCAAACTTCCATAATGATATATTGAACGGTTTACGAGATACGCTCCAGTAAAATACTGTAGTATTGAAATGCACATATTGTTCAATGTAGAAATTTTTAATTAGCAAAAGCCACTGTAGTAGCATAGATTGGTTTCTTAGATATTCTCCGTACCAACAATTGCATTGCAAAAACTAAGCTGGAGCCGATTTCTTTGGAAAAATAAAAATAATTCAATTCACGAATGTTCTAACAAAAACACAACTACTATAATTCAAATTGTATAATGTACAACTAACTATACGTTGTATACCGCACAATTTAGGTGCCATGATCTATGCAGATGGCAGTCAGCTCTATTTAGTATGTCAAGATCCGTCAGTTTCAGTTCAATCGGTAGAGACTTGCATTGGTGAAATCAGAGCAAATAAATGAAATGTTGTTTTATGGCGCGTCAGCTCCAACGGGGCTATATTGCGCCAAACATATGGGGAAACTATTCGAGACAAAATATATGAAATCATAGAAATATATTTATATCCATAAATAAAAACAAGTATCACAGATAATATATAAAATTAAAAATAAATATCAAATACTTTATGAATATAAACAATTAAAATGAAAGAAGACGGGTTACATATATACAATTAAAACTTATAATAAAATTTTTATTTTTAAAAAAATTTAGGATCTTACAAAATAGCTCCGGTTGAGCAAATAAATGTCTGACAACGGTATTATTTTGATCTAATATTTCCAAGATACTTGCACTCAATCAAAATGTGATTCACCGTCAAAGGAACATGACAGTGTTCACATTCTGGTTGAGGCTCTCGCTTCAAGATGAAAATGTGAGTTAAAAAGTATGACCAATGCGAGAGCGACACAAAACAACTTCATCTATAGGAGTTGGGCCAATCTCCTAAGAGAGGCTTAATCTGATGAAGTTTGTTAGTGCCTGCAAGATCCCACGACCGTTGCCAACGGCCATAAATTAAATGATTAATTGAATGTTTAAAATCCTTATTTGGAATTAAAAAGGGTGATTGGGGAAGATCTAAAGCAGCTTTGGCAGCAAAATCTGTTTGATCATTCCCCCTTATATCCACGTGACTCGGGAGCCAGCAAAAGACGACGTCTTTGCTGTTGAACTCGTTGTTAATTGCTTGAAGCGAGGACAGAGAATCAGTAAAGATAATATATTTTAAAGATGAAGAGGATTGTATGAACTCCAAGGCCTGAAGAATGGCCTGGAGCTCAGTTGTAAATATTGAAGCAGCAGGTGGAAGGCACACAGAAATGGTCTCAGATGGCGTCAAGGCGGTAGCCGAGACTACCAGATCACCATCTTTAGAACCATCTGTGTGTATATAAAAGCATAATCACCATACTTAGACCTTAACTCTCTAAAGAGAGATTGGAACACCGTAGAGCTAGTATCTCAGACAAAAGGGGTTGTATGCGAATACCGAATGATGGAATAACATTAGTCTTCACCAGATACAAATGCTCATGAAGAGGTCTAAATACTGTGTTAAATGAAATGTGATTCGGAAGTGATGCAACTTTCGTAGCATACTGCAGGGCCATTTTATCACGTCTGTTGTGCAGTGAGGGCTCATGCGCCTCGACATAAAAACTGTCCACTGGAGATGTACGAAATGCTCCTAAACTGATTGTGTATGGTGTCAAGCTCTTTGAGATAAGACTCGCGGGCAGACCCATACACAATACACCCATAATCGAATTAATGCTCGATATAATCGAAGCGAGACCTTACGGCCTGCTCCCCAGTCAGTATTTGATAGGACTCTCAATATGTTGAGAGCTTTCAGGCATTTCTTTTTGAGGTTTTTAATGTGGGGTTAAGTCATCAACATAAAGAGCGCCGTTTGTACCTGGTTTGAGGCACGATGGGATTGTATTAATTTTAATCGCAAAAAGGGTAGGAGATAATATGCTTCCCTGAGGAACTCCCATTTCCTGAGGACTCCCATTTCCTGAGGACATGGGTCAGAGAATATTGATCCCAGTCGTACCTTAAATGCCTGGATGTTTGACAACAAACTTGTTTTGAAGGATTCCAAAACCGATGTAATTATTTCCAGTCGCGTTTTGGTGACTCCGTTCCCAGTCTTGTCTGTTCGAGTTGGTACACCATCTAACAGTGTTCGTAATCTTGGTGTAGTTTTCGATTCACTAGAAAGTTTCATAAAGCAAACTTCTCAGACAGTCTCTCTTACACAATTCAAGAACGTCGTATTAGACGTTTGTTGAGTCAAGAGACTACATAAAAGTTAGTACATGCCCTTGTAACATCGAGATTGGACTATTGTAACCGTTTGTATCATAATCTTGGCAAAACTCGGTTGAAAACGTTGCAAAGTCTTCAAAATTTACGAGATAGGTTACTAGAACCATAAAAACTTGTCTGCCGCCATTTCGGATGTTAAACTTTTTGTCATGTTTTTATTGTTACGCTTTTACATATCTTATTACAGTTTTACTGAACTTTCATCTTATGTTTTATTATTTTAAATTTCATATTTTGTAAAACGCATTGAAAATGTGCCATGCTTTAAACTGTGTAAATTGTTATGTTTTGGAATTCGCCCTACAAGAATGTACTATTATTGTCCCCCGCCTTTCGAAGAAAGCAGAGGACTAATAAAATGGGTCTGTCTGTCTGTCCGTCATACTTTTTGTGACACAATAACTCTCCTTCTAATTGACCCAGAATGTTCAAACTTGGTGTAGGTGTTTATTAGGTCAATGCCTTGATGGAGTTCGAAGATGAGCATTTTCTGCTTAGGGTAAGCAGAGATAAGCGATTTGATTGGTTGATGCTTTGGGACACGATAACTTTAGTTCTAATTAAGTGAGAGTGATGAAACTTGGTGTATAGTTTCATTACATCAATACCTTGACTAAGTTCGATTATGAGAATTTTCTGCTCTAATTAAGTGAGAGTGATGAAACTTGGTGTATAGTTTCATTACATCAATACCTTGACTAAGTTCGATAATGAGAATTTTCTGCTCAGGGTAAGCAGAGCGATAAGCAATTTGATTGGCCGAGACTTTGGAACACAATAACTCTCCTTCTAATTGAGGTAAAATGTTCAAATTTGGCGTAGGTGTTAGGTCAATGCCTTGATGGAGTATGAAGATGAGCATTTTCTGCTTAGGGTAAGTAGAGATAAGCAATTTGATTGGTTGATGCTTTGGGACACGATAACTTTAGTTCCAATTAATTGAAAGTGATGAAACTTGGTGTATAATTTCATTACATCAATACCTTGACTAAGTTCGATATTGAGCATTTTCTGCTGAGGGTAAGCAGAACGATAAGCAATTTGATTGGCCGAGACTTTGGAAAACAATAACTCTCCTTCTAATTGGGCTAGAATGTTCAAACTTGGTGTAGGTATTTATGAGGTCAATGCCTTGATAGAGTGCTTATGGTAAATAGAGATAAGCAATTTGATTGTTTGATGCTTTGGGACATGATAACTTTAGTTCTAATTAAGTGAGAGTGATGAAACTTGGTGTATAGTTTCATTACATCAATACCTTGCCTAAGTTCAATGATGAGAATTGTCTGCTTAGGCTAAGGAGCAATAAGCATTTTGATTGGTCAAGACTTTGGAACATAACAACTCGGCTTCTAACTTGATGTTGATGTTCGTCTTGACCGAATTCAATGATTAACATATCGAGGTAAAGCTAAGCAGAGATAAGCAATTTCCTTGGTCGATGCTTTGGGACAAGATAACTTTGATTCTATCTGATAGAGAGTGATGAAACTTAGTGTATAGTTGATAATCAGTTTGATTGCTCGATACTTTTGAAAAAAATAGATTTGCGATTAATTAATATGTGTCATCTATTTATTTGGGGATTTCGGCGGGGGACATCAGCCTCACTGTTGGCTTGTTTTTATTATTATGAGAGGATGAACCCTATCGGTAATTAAAGTTCTGCGACTTTCCGTTCAAGAGTTATCCCCCTTTGCCAACCCCCCTGTAAACCCGACCTTCTTTATAACAGATTTCTTTTAAATTTTGTGGGTACATTGATTGCATGGCATCTGTCAATCATAAGTTAATGCATACAGATAATACTGCCACAATGACTGTCTATCTGTGATTGATTTATTGTTGCATGTTGGTATTTTTGACAAAACGGACAAAATGT